TGCAATGGCCTGATCTCCTCGGCTCACTGCAACCTCCACCTCCCAGGCTCAAAAGATTCTCCTGCCTCAGCCTCCCAAGTAGCTGGGATTACAGTTTTGCCCACAACACCCAGCTAATTTTTGTATTTGTGGTGGAGATGGAGTTTCACCATTTGGCTAGGCTGGTCTTGGACTCCTGGCCTCAAGTGATCCATCCGCCTTGGCCTCCCAAAGTGCTGGGATTACAGATGTGAACCACTGCATCCGACCTAGAACATTTTTATCATTCCTAAAAGGAACCCCGTATCCTTTAGCTGTCAACCCCCAAGCTCCCCACGCCCCCAGGCACTGGCAACCACTACTTTCCATCTCTATAGATTTACCCATTCTGGACATTTCATAAAAATGGATCATATAATATGTGGTGTTTTGTGACTGACTTCTTTCACTTAGCATAATGGTGTCCAGGTTCATCTATGTTGTAGATGAAGTACTGAATGTATCAGTACTTCATTTCTTTTTAAGGCCAAATAATATTCTATTGTGTGGATATACCACATTTTGTTCATTCATCAGTTGATGGACATTTGGGTTGTTTACAGAAGCAGCTGTTATGAAAAATGCTGCTATAAGCATTTGTGTACAGGTTTTTGTGTGGACATATGTTCGCATCTCTCTTGAGTATAGACCTAGAAGGGGAAATGTTGAGTTAAATGAGATAGGTATTTTTAAGCCAGGCAAAGTGGCTCACTCCCATAATTCCAGCCCTTTGGGAGGCCGAGGCAGGCAGACCACTTGAGTTCGAGACCAGCCTGGCCAACATGGTGAAACCCCATCTCTACTAAAATACAAAACTTAGCTGGGCATAGTCGCCTGCACCTGTAGTCCTAGCTACTTGGGAGGCTGAGGCAGGAGAATTGCTTGAACTCGCGAGGTGGAGGTTGCAGTGAGCCAAGATCACAACACTGCGTAGCCCAGGCGACAGAGCAAGACTCAGTCTCAAAAAAACCAAAAACCAAAAAACAAAAAAAAAAAAAGAAAAAAGAAAAGAAAGAAGGAAAGAAAGACATATTTTTATCTCATCTCCCTTCTAGATTACAAACATTCCTAGGGCAGGGTTTGAGTCATTCCATCCTGGCCCAGTGCTATGCACATTGGTATTTATTAAATATTTACTGACTGGGACGAATCAATGGATGACATTTTCAATTATAACATATAACATGGTAGGGAGTTGCAGGACTAGACAGGCATCATGAAGACAATAAATCTTTTTTTTACAAAAGCAAGAAACTCAGATCATGAACAATCTTAACACTGGCAAGTAAAATTGCAAAATATACATCTCAGAACCTAAGCTCCCCTTCTGTAAGATGAGAGCAACAATATTTTATAGTGCTGTTGTATGAAAAATTGTGTTCTATCTGAGAAGGCCTCAAACAGACCTGGCACACGTAGTAAGCACTCAATCAATGCTATGTAGCCAGTTAAATTCAATATGGTCCCTCATCCACAAACCAATCCAGCATTTGGCCTTTTGTGAAATATTGTTTAGCTTTCACCTTGAAAAGCCTGGGTTTTCATCTCACCTTCAGCTCTGTCTTTTGCTGTTCAACGAGAGATTTTTATACTTGTGTCTATATTCATGATATCAAAGCAAGTAGTTTAATAATTGCAAAAGAGGTGACTGATCTAGTGAATCTTGCTCTCAGGGTAAGAATCAGAAGTGCCGGCCAGGCGCGGTGGCTCATGCCTGTAATCCCAGCACTTTGGGAGGCTAAGGCGCGTGGATACGAGGTCGGGAGATGGAGACGATCCTGGCTAACACGGTGAAACCCCAACTCTACTAAAAATACAAAAAGATTCATGCCTGTAATCCCAGCACTTTGGGAGGCCAAGGCGGGCGGATCAGGAGGTCAGGAGATCCAGACCATCCTGGCTAACAAGGTGAAACACATCTCTACTAAAAATACAAAAAATTAGCCGGGCTTGGTGGTGGGCACCTGTAGTCCCAGCTACTCGGGAGGCTGAGGCAGGAGAATGGCGAATGGCGTGAACCCAGGGGGCAGAGTTTGCAGTGAGCCGAGACTGCACCACTGCACTCCAGCCTGGGCAACACAGTGAGACTCCGTCTCAAAAATAAAAATAAAAATAAAAAATAAAAATACAAAATATTAGCCAGGTATGGTGGCAGGCACCTGTAGTCCCAGCTACTTGGGAGGCTGAGGCAGTAGAATGGCATGAATCCGGGAGGCGGAGCTTGCAGTGAACCGAGATGGCACCACTGCATGCCAGCCTGGGCAACAGAGCAAGACTCCCTCTCAAAAAAACAATAATAATAAAAAACAAAATAAAATAAAGACAGAAAAAGAATCAGAAGTGACATCCCACTAACTCTGCTAGGCAACACTCCATATCTCTGGTCAGATGTGTTCATGAGGCTACATATTCTTCAAATTTGTGGAATTAGACTTCTGCCCTTAAGTGGGGGCATAATTAATCTTTTTAAAACTTAGTTTGTCTATTGTTTAGATATCAGACAGACTCAATCTGTCTACATCTTTTCAGAGTCTGGTTCTTGAGATCATATGTTTATTTTAATATAATGTTTAAATATGTTAGACTATAAAATAGACATCTAATTACATATTTTTAATGCTGGGTTAAAATTTGTTGATTAGGATTATCTCCACATTACATTGAGTTTGAAATGATAGACTATCTAAATTTCAGAATATAAATGCATTTCAATTACTTTCAAGTTTAGGTACAAAACTTAAGCCAGAACAGAAAAACATCACCTAGGGTCAGTCTTGGTTCACTGACTAGATAAAAATTATGTGTAATCAGTACATCAACTCAACAATCTAGAAATTGCTAGCCTTAGTCTGTTATACATACAGTATAATTTTTGTAAACGAAAGATACTCCTAAAACATTTGAAACTTTCTAACACGATGAATTGGCAATTTTTATTTCTTTTCTTTTTTTCTTTCTTTTTTTTTTTTTTTTTTTTTTGAGATGGAGTCTTGCTCTGCTGCTCAGGCTAGAGTGCAATGGTACAATCATAGCTCATTGCAGTCTCGATCTCCCAGGCTCAAGTGATCCTCCTGCCTCTCAGCCTGCCAAGTAGCTGGGGGTACAGGCACCACCACACTGGCTAATTTATTTTATTTTATTTTTGTAGAGACAGGGCTTCCCTAGGTTGCTCAGGCTTGTCCTGAACTCCTGTACTCAAGTGATCCTCCTGCCTTGGCCTCCGAAAGTGCTGGGATTACAGGCATGAACCACTGCACCTGGCCTAACAAATTATTTTTTCTTACAATCTTACTTGCACTATGAATGTGCAAGTAATGATAATAATAGTAATAATAACAATAGCTGGTAAAAGATTGCAGTGCAGGCCAGGTGCTGTGGCTCATGCCTATAATCCCAGCACTTTGGGAAGCCAAGGTGGGCGGATCACCTGAGGTCAGGAGTTCAAAACCAACCTGGCCAACATGGCTTCTAATACATAGAACAGAGGAGATATTCTCATTTCCTGCTTGTGAACAAATTCCCAATTAACACTAGGAAAACTACTGAGTTTTGTTGCAGGGGTCAAAAGTACCCTAAAGGTTCCCAATTTGTGGTGGCATTTGACAGTTCACAGACATGCTACCCCCTGGGCGGTTACCAACAACTGAATCTTATGATTAGCCTCTCAGCCTGGTTACTTCCACCCAATCACCTCCACAAATCACAACCAGGGTCTTCTAGGCTTATCCCTGGGGTGGGGAGAGGGGGTGGGGAGCAGAGGAGATAGAGTTTGTAATTTGAAATGGGACCCCATTTGAAAAAGGTAGCCAATTCCTGTGTGACCATTATAGAAAGACCTAGAACTAAGAGACACCCTTGAAGACTGTCATTACCTGTTACCCCTCTTTACCACACAGGATGCACACTGTGCTATGGGGAACACAATCACACAGACAAGGCTGAGTGAGGCAGCACGCTACCGCCCACAGTCTAAGAACAAGAACACCCGCATTGCAATCTTTTTTTCTTTTCTTTTTCTTTTTTTTGAGACGGAGTCTCACTCCGTCACCCAGGCTGGAGTGCAGTGGCGTGATCTAGGCTCACTGCAACCTCCACCTCTATGGTTCAAGAGATTCTTGTGCCTCGGCCTCCCGAGTAGCTGGGATTACAGATGCCCACAACCACACCTGGCTAATTTTTGTATTTTTAGTGGAGACGGGGTTTCCCATGTTGGCCAGACTGGTTTTGAATTTCTGACCTCAGGTGATCTGCCCACCTTGGCCTCCCAAAGTGCTGGGGGATTACAGGCATGAGCCACAGCACCCCACCAGCACTGCAATATTTGACCAGCTATTGTTATTATTACTATTATTATCATTAGAGACAGGATATCACTCTGTTGCCCAGGCTGGATTGCCGTGGCTCAATCATAGCTCACTGCAGCCTCCAACTCCTGGGCTCAAGTAGTTGGGACTACAGACACAAGCTACTGTGCCAGGCTAATTTTTAAATGTTATGTAGAGACAGGGTTTCACTATGTTGCCCAAGCTGGTCTCAACCTCCTGAGCTCAAGCAATTTTCCTGCCTCAGCCTTCCAAAGGGCGGGGATTATGGGCGCAAACCACTGTGCCCAGTCCAACCAGCTGTTATTACTATTTTTCAGTTAGAAGGAGAAAAAAACAAAAAACAGAGGGATGTGGGTGTGTATGTTTCTTGGAATCCAAGCGATCGGGGGGGAAAAATCCGTCAAAAATGTTCTCAGTACAAAAGTTGGCAAAACAACTCTCTTTTTTTAAACTGAACTTTGTAATAGGAGAAATCCTCTCACAAGGAGAGGATGTTTCTGAGCCAAGTTGAAGCAAAAGAAACTTTTTCCAGCATGTCAGGAACGAAGCTGACGTTCCATTAAGAAAAAAAAAAAGAAGAAGAAGAAGAAGAAGTGCTAGAGGAAGGAGTAAGAGGGGAAAAGGCACCAGAATTCAGACGTAGCTTTAAATTCCAGACAGGGCCAGCGTCGGGAGCACGTAGGAAGCGCCCCTCGGAAAGGAGCCGGAGCCCCGGCTGACTTCGCACTTGAGCTCCAGCCCCGTGGACATTTCCTGTTCTGCCTCTGGAAATTCAAGCTGAAAGTTACAAAACATCCTTTTCCCTGGAACCAAGTGCTTGGTTGGGAGACCATGCCCTCCCCTTCCTTCCTCGGAACTCCTCCCTGATCGCCCCGCGGCTTCCCCAGGAGAGATGCCAAATCAGCGGTAGCAGGTGGCGCAGAAGGGAGAGGGGAGCGACCCTGGGGACCCCCGCCGAAGAGGTAGGAAACTGGGGACTGCACGTTCCTGAGGCCACTTCACACTTATTGAGCAAAACGAGGTGCTCGTCCTTTAAGCCCGGGGCTGAGGTGTTTCCCTCGCTTGGGTATGCACTGGGTGGTGGGTGGACTGGCCACGAATCTGGAATAAGTTCAGGCATTCCTTTTCCCTCTCTCTTTCCAAGTTGAACTTTAATCCTTGGGTCTCTGGAACCACATATTTTGTTTCGTGTGGGAGGTACTGAAAGGCAGAATTCTAGGAAGTAAATATTGTGAATCCCTGATTTTTCTCTTTTCTTTTCTTTTCCCTTTGCTTCTCTCTTCTCTTTTCTTTTTTCTTTCCGCCCCTGAAATGCCCAGGAGCAGTCATAAATACCTTCATCTGGGAATAGATTCGGGGAGAAGTGAGAAGGGGACAGGGCTGGGAAAAGCATTCTCACCACGGTGAGCTGGGCGCGGCTGTTTCCCGGGACCTGGGCCATGTGTTCTTCTGGCCCAGATGCTCTCTCCCTCCTTTCCTTCCACCCATTGCCTTGGAGACAACTACCTTGAGTTGTTTCTCTGGGTGCAGGGATGTGGCACAGACCCTGGTCAGGGCCCTTAAGCATCAGTGCCCTGCGTTTATGGACAGAACCCAGGTGCTGTCTAAAATGTTTCTGTCTGGGGCAAAGCTAACTGGTCTACCCAGTAACCTGCGTGTAGCCCTTGCCTTCGTGAGGCCCGGGCTCCCGGCAGTCGGTCTCTGGAAGGCCAGCCTTGGCAATACACGTGCTGACATTGGACCTGCTCAGAGAACTCAGCATGGCTTCTGCATAAGGACTACTCAGCTGGGTTCACATTTATTATATACATTTGTTTCTCTTAGAAAATGGCTTTTGAACTTAAAAAAATCTTGTGTGGCTGGGCACAGTGTCTCACACCTGTAATCCCAGAACTTTGGGAGGCTGAGGTGGGCAGATCACTTGAGATCAGGAGTTTGAGACTAGCCTGGCCAATATGGTGGAACCCCATCTCTACTATAAATATAAAAATTAGCTGGGCATGGTGGCAGGCACCTGTAATCCCAGCTACTCAGGAGGCTGAGGCAGGAGAATTACCTAAACCCGGGAGGTGGAGGTTACAGTGAGCTGAGATCACACCACTGCGCTTCAGTCTGGGCAACCGAGCAAGACTCTGTGTCAAAAAAAAAGAAAAAGAAAGAAAAAGAAAAGAAAACATCTTGTGATCTAAGGACATCCTCACTCCTGGGAAGGGATGCAGGTCGCCTTTGTGGCGTTCACCGTGGAGCCTGGGGGCACCTCCTCTTCCCACTTCCAACAAAGCAGCTCCATCCTTACCTGACTTTTATGTCGAGGTTCCCAGTTAAAAGCATGCTTTTAAAACAATTTGCAGAACTGCTGACCTGCAATAAGCAGTGCTTTGCCTAGACTGAAAATGACTGCTTATGGAACAAAGGTGATTGACGGAGGGATTTTTAGCTTGCCCCTGTCTAGGCTCTTACTCGATCCTCCCATCCGCCTCCTTTAATGATCGCCTTCTGCCCTGGGGAACCTGCTGGAGGTGGGAGTGCCAACCAGGCTCAGCGAGTGAGCTGTTCCGTCTCAGGCACCTGACCTCCTGTGCAGGGACAGACAAGGGGCAGAGCCCCAGAGAACTGATAATACAACTCGGCCTCTCTCTCCAAGTCTTTTCTGAATTTGTCCTTCTAAGTGTGCTCACGGTTATGAACTATGTGATCAATAATTGTAACAGCTAATTATTGATCTCCCTTTACGATATCAGATTACTTACTGAGCCAGGCATGGGGCTGAGCACATTACACAGATGAGCTCATGGAATCCTCACAAAGCCCTGTAAGGTAGCTTTTGGCCTGACCCCCACTCTGCTGTGTGGAGTGGAAAGGAAGAGCCACTGAGTGACTGGCTTGAGGGCACCCGGCCACTTAATGGTGAAGGTGGGGCTGGGGCCCCTCCCCCTGAGTCTGAGCCACACTGCCTTGAATATTTTTGCAGCCCTGTTTGACAGAAGTAAGAAGGACATTGTTGTGAGTGTGGCTTTTTTGTATTTTATTCAAGAATGCCCCTGAGAATAGGCTAGGAGGAGCAGGGTCACAGGGCTAGGACGGAATGTTCTGTGGGAAGGAAAAGGGCTCCTAAGAATAAGTGGAGTTAGGATTCTTGTCCAAACTGCATCCCTGATAAACATCACTTTTTTCTCTGAGAGTTGGTATAGTTTTTGTTTGTTTTATTTTTTAGATACAGGGTCTTGCTGTGTCATCCAGGCTGGAGTACAGTGGCATAATCCTAGCTCACTGCAGCCTCAATCTCCTGGGCGCAAGTGATTCTCCCACCTGAGCCTCCCCAGGAGCTGAAACTACAGGTATGCACCACCATGCCTGGCAATTTTTTAAAATTTTTTATTTTTTGCGTAGAGATGGGGATCTCCCTATGATGCCCAGGCTGGTCTTGAACTCCTGGTCTCAAGCGATCCTCCTGCCTCAGCTGCCCAAAGTTTCAGGATTACAGGCGTGAGCCACTGTGCCCTACTGAGGTGGTAAGGTTCAATGGGAAAGTGCCAGGCTCTGTAGCCTGACTGCCTGGGTTCACATCTCAGCTCTGCCACATTTTAGCTTGGTCATCTTGGGCAAATTATACAAACCTGTGTGCCTCAGTTTCTTCAAAAATAATATCCTCTGGAGAAAGATGATAACAACAGTACCTATTTCACCAAGATATCACAAAGATAAAATTAGTTAATCCACATGAAGCATTTAGAATTGCATCTGGCATATGGTAAACATTCAATAAATATGTTATGTGTAAAAGAGGTTGTTGTGTTAACCCAAGGAAAAGTAGCTTGGGGGCAGTCTGGAAATAAGAAGTAACTGGTATTTGAAAAAATGGACACCAACAAGTGCAATGTAATTTCAGTTTGAGCTGGGGAGAGGATTGTGCTTGGACCGCAGCTAGGAAGGACCCTGGGAGACAGCCTAGGACCTTCAGGGAAGAGCTTATCTGTTCTTCCAGAGATAAAACTGAAAACAACAACAACAACAAAAACTAGTCTTTAGGGTTGGCATTGCCAAATCACATCCTTGCATTAAATGAAGTAAATGTAGGCTGGGCGTGGTGGCTCATGCCTATAATCCCAGCACTTTGGGAGGCCAAGGCAGGCAGATCACTTGAGGCCAGGAGTTTGAGACCAGCCTGGCCAACATGGTGAAACCCCATCTCTACTAAAAATACAAAAATTACCTGGGTGTGGTGCCAGGTGCCTGTAATCTCAGCTACTCCAGAGGCTGAGGCAAGAGAATTGCTTAAGCCCAGGAGGTGGAGGTTGCAGTGAGCCAAGATTGTACCACTGCAATCCAGCCTGGGTGACAAAGTGAGACTCTGTCTCAAAATAACAAGAAAGGAAAAGAAAGGAAAGAAAGGGAAAGGAAAGGAAAGGAAAATGGTATAAGTGTAATTTATTTAGCTTTGTAGTTGTGGAAATGAGTCCCACCTCTGACCTAATGTTATATAAAGCAAAAATATGGTTTTTTCTTCTCTCTCTCTCTTTTTTTTTTAATCAATGTCATTGGCTGAACCACTTGTATTTTTGGAAGGATGACTTTAGGATTTCCAACTGAGATATGAAATTTAAGAGCTAAATGTAGCTGATTTAAAACAACAACAACAACAAAAGTAGATCATGACTTACAAAAGAATTCTGTGGTTTTTTCGAAGAACAAATTTGTGAGCTCGGCCTGAGTCTGGATTACATGTATAATGATCTTGAAACTAGTTTGCCAATTTTTACTTGAAGTAGAAGTAGATGAGAAATAAATCAATGGCTGACATTGACTGAGCACTTACTACGACCCAGGCATTGTGCTAAGTGCTTCCCGTGCATCACCTCATTTGTTTAAGCCTCATGGCCGCCTGTCAGGTGAATACTATTATTATCCCCGGTTTGCAAATAACGATAGCAAGGTTTAGAGAAGGAGATAAATATGCACAAAAGCAGATAGCTAGTAAGCGCTGGAGTTGGCATTCTAATTTAGGACTATCTAATTTGGGTATGAGTGTTTAAACCCAACATTATAGTTCTAGTAAATCTAATAATTCCATTTGTGTCTGTTTGAAGAGTACGGCACATAGAAGCTGATAAACAACAGTCATAACTCTTGCAACATGCGCACAGCGCTAGTCTGGGCAAAACACACTTGGGCATTTTGGAGAGCAGAGTTTGGAAGATTCAGAGGGCACGGGACAGGAGATGCACGGCGTCATTGCATCTGAGCAAGGAAACTGTTCCAGGCAGCTCCAGGTGTGGGTAAAATTGTAAAGCAAGTTGCCTTCTTCACCTTTCTCTGTGCTCTCCCAGAGGCTTCCCTGCTCATCCCAGGCAGGGCTATCTTTTTCTTTTTTCCAGACATCTCAGTCACGCTCTGACAAGACAGAGACGATCCCAGCTGTGGACTCCCACCAAGCCCCGTTCTGCAATAAATACCCTCCGTCTGTCATACCCAGAATTGATTCTCTTTTTTGTTTATTTTGGTCCATTAGAACCCCCTTTAACCAGCACTTGATATTTAGCAAACTGTTTGAAAGTAATCAATTAATTCATACACTGGTGTAGCTCCCTTGGGGGACTTTTAGGCTTCAGTGTGACAGTGACTAGGGGAGATGCACTTAGGGCAGGGAGATTCCCAGGAAACCCCTTGCCCCATGCCACTGTGGTTATCTGTTCCCTGGCGGGAAAGGCACTCTCCTTTCTGATGGTCTGAGGTCCGGACCACAGGCTCTTGCTGTGTTCCTTCACAGAGAGGCTGCTTACCTGAATTTTCCGAACAATTCCTAGCACCAGCTCAGCAGGGACAGCGCCCGGCAGCAGTAGGAAGTGGGTGTGATGTTCTTCCTGGGTGCCCAGAGCCCTCTCCCTCTGTCCTTTTTCTTGGTGGCCCCTCTCCCACCCCATTCCCAGCCTCTCCCAGGCTCCCCTTCCTTCCTCACCTCCAGGAAAGCCTCGAGGCTCTTAATTCACCGGACAACCTTAAAACATACACTGGCCAAGCGTGGGTGTGTTTATAACAAGAATCAAATTATTTTGCTGGAAACAAGAGGACAATGGAATTTAGGAATCAGCAGTTCTGGGAGAGTTTTTTAACATGTTGGAATTCAGGTCCTCCTTAGATGTCTCTGCCTCAAATAATGCACTGTAAACCGTTCTCATTCATGGCCCATCAGTCATTGCGCAGGGTCCTAGTTTAATAAGTAGGGGAACTGGGGAAAGGAAGGGAAACCTGTTGCTCATCCCAGGTCTCCCAAGATTTAGGGGATGGCAGAGAGGGGAGGGCTTCCACACTTTCTGCGCTTTCAATCTTCTAGAGGCAATGAAGATACCAGATACCTTCTTCTTTAACTTCAGTCTTTTTCTTTTTTTCTTTTTTTGAGACAGAGTCTTGCTCTGTCATCCAGGCTGGAGGGCAGTTGTGCGATCTCGACTCACTGCAACCTCCACCTCACAGGTTCAAGTGATTCTCCTGCCTCGGCCTCCTGAGTAGCTGGGATTAAACGCAGCTGCCACCACACCCAGCTAATTTTTGTAGTTTTGGTGGAGATGGGGTTTCACCATGTTGGCCAGGCAGGCTGGTCTTGAACTTCTGACCTCAGGTGATCCGCCCTCCTTGGCCTCCCAAAATGCTGAGATTATAGGTGTGAGCCACGCGCCTGGCCATAAGCCTGTATTTTTAAAAGGAGGTTCCAGACGGATACAAGCAGAAAGGAAGAGTTGCAAAAGCAGACACAATACAGAGCAAAATGCCCCAAGGTGGCAGGGAGGGCTTGGTATGTTTATTATGCAACGAGGGACTCTCCTGGCCCTTGGAACTTTCCATAGTTTGACTTTCTGGTTAATCATTACCATCTTCATGGCTGCTGGCAGCCAAGGCTTTGCTTGGCCTGCCGGGCCTGGCAGTCGCGTTGCTGGCCAGCCTGAGGGTTGCACCAGCCATAGTTAGCTGCGATGCCCCCTAGAGTTTCCTGCGGGAACAACCAGGGGGGCCCGCGGCCTGCTGACGCACCCTGGCGGGGAGTGGCTTGCCTTATGCCTGTCTCCTTGTCTCGCAGCTGGCTCTCCAGGGTCGGTCTGGTTTTCGTAGTCTCACGTTTCCTTTTCCAGCACGCCTGTGTGTCTGCATACCACGTGAGAACACAGCCTGCTCTCTTCCTTGAAGCGGCTGGATTTCCAGCAGGCACTGCACGTGCTTGTTCAGATGCAAGGATACGTCATGGAAAAGAGAGAGCTGGATAGATGTATCTTAGTTCATACACAGCTGTCAGGACTTGAGGCATGCATCAGCCGAGCCTGGGAAAAAGCATGAGATCTGCTTGTAGAATCATGAACACCAGAGCTGAAAGGGATCTTACTCTCTATTCGAAACCCTTCATTTCACAGCTTTGGAAAAAGAGGCTCAGAGAGGTGGGGAGTTGCCCTGGGTCACAGAGCAAGGTCCAGGGGTCCTTCTATTTCTTGAAACTAAACTGGTTGTGTGGAGAGTCTTGAGAGGAAGCTAAAGTTACATGGGTGCTGGATTTTTCCATTTGGCCTTAGCAATCACTCTCCACCATTTTCCACCCACGCTGTGCCTGGGAGGCTGGCCAGACTGGCACCCTTACATCTGGCTTCCAGGTAGATTTAGCCAGAGGAGGGCACCTGCAGGTAAGTTGAGAGGGAGGGGAGTGTGCCATGGAGGATTTAGTCCACTTCTTCCTTTCCTGCTGCTTCCATGGGCTGGTGGTGTCCCCTGACTGAAGGCCAGGACTCCTGTCAGCAACCACCCCCTGCACTCAACTCTCTCCGCTGACCCTTCAGGCCTAAGGCAATGACAGCATCTCCTACACTGGGCAGCCCTGGGCTACGCTGCTGTTTCCTGTGGCCTCCCAAACCCTCCTCAGACCTTTGTAAACGGTCCCTTTATTAAACCCTCAAGTCAAAGAGTGTTACTTGCTGGGATCCTGATCCTGACTGACAGAATGGATCCTGACCCACCTGAGAGGTGGCTTTGTTTGTTAGCTTAAAAGAGAAAATCTGTAGGAAAGGAAGATGGCCCTGAAATTTAGGAAGAGGGTGTGTTAGTTTCCTGCGGCTGCTCTAACGAATGACCACGAACAAGGTAGCTTAAAACAGAACAAAACCAGAAATGCATTCTCTCCCAGTTCTGGAGGTGAGAACTGGAGTTGACTGGCCAGTACTCCCTCCAGTGGCTCCAGGAAATCATCTGGTCCTTGTCCCTTGCCTCTTTTGGTGTCTGGTGGCTGCCAGCATTCCTTGACTTGTGACCATATCCCTTTGATGTTGACCTCCGTGGTGATATCTCATGTATGAAATCTTCCTTTGCCTCTCTTGTATAATGATGCTTTGGGTTGCATTTAAGGCCCACTCAGATAATTCAGGATAGTCTCCCTCTCTCAGAAATCCTTAATTTCATCACATTAGCAAATACAGTAAGATATTTACAAATAATAAAATATTGTTCCAAATGAGATAACCTGGCTGGGCACTGTGACTCATGCCTGTGCGGTGGCTCATGCCTATAATTCCAGTGCTTTGAGAGGCGGAAGAAGGAGGATTGCTTGAGCCCAGGAGTTCGAGATTAGCCTGGGCAACACAGTGAGACCCCTGTCTCTACCAAAAAGAAAAAAATTACCCAGACGTGGTGGCACATGGCTGTAGTCTCAGCTACTTGGAAGGCTGAGGTGGGAGGATCGTTTGAGCTCAGGAGGTCAAGGGTGCAGGGAGCTATGATTGCACCACTGCACTCCAGCCTGGGCAACAGAGCACGACTCTGTCTCCAAAACAAAAGAATAAGATAACAATAACCTTTACAGTTTCCAGGGATTAGGAACTGATAACTTTGAAGTCATTATTCAGCCTCCTGCAGAGGGTAAGAGAGGCACATCAGAGTTCCCTCAGGACATCTCTAATGACACCCTTATGCTTGACAAAAGTAGTGACCAGTCTCTGGGGGGAGACATATTTCTGAGGATTCTGTTCAGTTCCAAACTCTCTAATTCTCTTATCTTTGTGGCTGGCAGCCAGATATCATTGTGACGGTCCAATTCTGAAGTCAGCTGTTTTGTCATCAGGCAAAGCATTCAGAAAAGACAACATAGTGGGCTGTGATAAGGACACAAAAATTGTGGAAGGGCCCAGCCTGGGGACATTTAGGGCATGGAAGTCATTTGACTCAAGGGTTGGATCCTAGAGAACAAAAATTGGGAGGCCCTCAGAAATGACCTAGCTCTGCCACCTCCTTTACCAGGCGGGGAAAATTAGTCCTGGAGTGGGAATTTCCTTACCCGCAGCTGGTCAGCAACAAGGCCCAGATTAAAACAAAAGTCTTGGCACTCAATCTAAGGACTTCTCCACCGTGCCTCCCTATCACGGCTTCTCACCACCTGGCCTCCTCCCCAGCAGTCTATGAGAATTCTTTGCAGGAATTCTACCCCTAACAGTTTCATTTACTGAAAGGTAGTGGGAATGTACTCGATGTCAAGTCTGTGATGCAGCATGAAAGAAGAAACAACGCTGGGGACGGTGGCTTTGCTCAGTGCCACTCACAGTGTCAGTTCTCAACGAGATCAGGAGACTGGGCTGGAACAGAAAGCCACACGCAGCTTCCTCCATGGAGAAAGTCTTGCTGTGGAGGCCAGGCAGGGGAGCAACAGTGCTTAGTGAGGCAACTGGCTTAGCTTCTACCACAGGCTCCTTATCTCAGCACTGGCCAGTGTGATGGTCCCTGGCTGGAGAACGCCAGGAAAAGCATTGCCTCACTGCTGCTTGAGCAAATCCACCTCCCAAATAGGGCATGGTGGTAGAAGAATATGCCAGAGAAGACAACAGTCCCTCTGTCCAGATCCTATCTAGACAATAGAGCTCAGATTGGGAGCCTTTCTTTCTTTCTTTCTTTCTTTCTTTCTTTTTTTTTTTTTTTTTTTTTTTTTTTTGAGATGGAGTTTCACTCTTGTTGCCCAGGCTGGAGTGCAATGGTGTGATCTCGGCTCATCGCAACCTCTGCCTCCCGGGTTCAAGCCATTCTCCTGCCTCAGCCTCCCAAGTAGCTGGGATTACAAACATGTGCCTCCATGCCTGGCTAATTTTGTATTTTTAGTAGAGACGGGGTTTCTCCATGTTGGTCAGGCTGGTCTCAAACTCCCGACCTCAGGTGATCCGCCCACCTCGGCCTCCCAAAGCGCTGGGATTACAGGCATGAGTCACTGCGCCCAGCCTGGGAACCATTCTTTAAGGGAGGTAATGATATTCTAGAGATCTTCCTGTAGTTCCTGACTCACAGAGCACAATTTTTGTGAAGATTAGAAGAGGCTGGGTGTGGTGGCTCACACCTGTAATCTCAACACTTTGGGAGGCTGAGGCAGGAGGAGCCCTTGAGGCTAAGAGTTCAAGACCAGCCTGGGCAATATAGTGAGAACCCCCATCTCTCCAAAATGTAAAAAAAAAAAAAAAAAAAAAAATTAGTCGGGTGTGGTGTCAGATGCCTGTAGTCCCAGCTACTTGGGAGGCTCAGGTGGGAGGATCGCTTGAGCCTGGGAGGTCGAGGCTACAGTGGAGCCTTAGCCTCCCAAAGTGCTGGGATTATATAGGTGTGAACCACCATGCCTGGCTACATAAATTACTTGGAATTCCATCATGGACATTTGTCTCTTCTCTTCATTTATTTATTTGTTTAATCATTAACTTATATTTGTAGGGACTCATGGATTTCTTTTAATACTTTGGGTTATAATCAAATACTGATTTATTAATTTTGTTGCTCAAATTGTTTCAGCTTCACCCATTGAGCACTCTCTCATTTGGCTAGACCCCATTATTGTGGGTCTTGGTGTTGTATTTGTATTTTGAGCACTCTTTTTTTTTAACCTTCTGGTGCTACAAGATACTCCAGTCTCATCTTATATGTTCCCTGACCAAGTTCTAGAATCAGCCATTTTTTTCAAGTATCCCTGGTTCCTTTCACTGGTGCATGATGTTGAAAACCAAAATCTTGGTACTAGATGTGCTTGTTGATACTGGGGTGCCATTGGTTCTAGGCCCTCTCAGCAGATAGGGCAAGGAGATATATGTGTATGTGCTGACTTCTTTTTTTTTTTTTTTTTTTTTTGAGATGGAGGTCACACTCTGTCGCCCAAGCTGGAGTGCAGTGGCACGATCTCGGCTCACTGCAACCTCCGCCTCCCAAGTTCAAGCGATTCTCCTGCCTCAGCTTCCTGAGTAGCTGGGATTACAGGCACCTGCCACCACGCATGGCTAATTTTTGTATTTTTAGTAGAGATGGGGTTTCACCATGTTGGCCAGGCCGGTCTCCAACTCCTGACCTTGTGATCTGCGTGCTTCAGGCTCCTGAAGTGCTGGGATTACAGGCATGAGCCACTGCACCCAGCCCGTGTGTGTTGACTTCTATGTGT